CCGCATCGGAAGCAGTCAGTGTTGCCTTCCTGCCCCCATCAACACGCTGACCTTGAGCGACAGGGAACTCCAGATCCAAAGAGGTTGCTGCAGCACCGGCCCCTGCCGGGCGACAGATCCCGGGGCAGCAGCTGGAGGACTCGTGCCATGCAGGTAGGCCAGATGCCTCCCAGGGTCAACCTGTGTGAGCTTAGCAAGGGAAGCCTGTGCGAATGGCACCCCTGCCCGCCCGCTGCTGCCTTCTCTCCTGCAACGGCTTGCTTGGGTTTGCAGCCAGGCTTTGGCAGAAGGAGCAAAGACACTGCAGTGGCTGTGCTGGACTGCTACAGGCGAGGAGTGCCGGAGGGGGCTTGAGCCAGGCCACCCTGTCCCATGCTTCACGGACACACTGCCGCCCCACCCGCCTGCCTGTCCTCACAGCCACAGTGGGCAGACATCGGGCTTCTGGGAATAAATGCTGGCACCCCTCCGCATGCCAGCCCCGCCAGCGACTTCTGGCCATGTGCAGAATGTGATACGTGCAGAAGCAGAGAACTTGCAAGACTTTGACCTTGGGAGAGTGCTCCCATGAGAGGTGGCCAGAACCAGATTTCCCCCTTCGGCATTTTCGGAAGACTAACTGGTTCTGGGGAGAGCTCTGCCCCGCCGCCGCCCCGGGCCGCCGCCGCCGCCGCCGCCACAGAGGCGTGTTTTGTCAACAGCTGCTCCAGCGGGGGGAGGCGGTGGCCCGGGCAGACCGGCAGAGGGCACCTGAAGGGGAGCCGTGCGTGCGCACCTGAGCAGCGGCCCGCGTGCACCGGGGCGGGCGCTGCCCGGGGCTCGGCGACCAAAGGCGCAAACCGTGGGGCCAGGAGGCGAGCTGGCGGCAGCGCTCCTGCTGCTCAGCCGGCGCGAGGGACGGCCCAGGCTCTGCACCAGCGCCCCCACCCCGGTCGCCCCCCAAAGAAGCGCGCCGCGCCGACGAGGCTGCAAGGCCCGCAGGACTTGCGCCCCTGCCCGACCGGGGCGGTGGGGCTGCGGGGGCATTCGAAGGCTCCCGCCCCGCTCACAGGCTCCCCGGCGGCGGCCGACCGCCACCCCCGAAGGGCCTGCCGAGCACGGTACGCGGGAGGGGCGCCCCCACGGCCGCCTTCCAGCCCCGCACCTCTCTGAAGGCGCAGCCGGCTTGGCAGCGGCTCCGTCCCAGCCGCCCCAGGAACCGGCCCGTGGCGGGGAAGGCAGGCCGGCCCGCGGGTTGGCCGAGAGGACCGATGCCGGCAAGCGCCTGGTCAGCGCGGGGAGCCGCGTGGCGCCCGGGATCCCCCGCGGGCTCCGTACCCGCTGGAAGGGGCCGCGCGGCCGAAGACGCCCGCCGGGTGCGGCACGCGGCTGCCCGCCAGGGCAGAGCCGCCCGCGGGCCTGGCGCGGGGCGAGCGCGGCTGCCGGTCCGTGCCGTCGACGCCGGGCAGAAGCAGGCGAGGTCTGGCTCGGGCGATGTTCCTCCCATCCCCCGTTCCCCCAGTTCAGGAAGCGGGGCGGCTGGCCTGCGCGGCGCCGGCACGCCAGTGCCCTCCCCTCGCCCCGCCGTCCAAGCAGCGGGCACGCGCAGCGGTTCCGCTGCACCCGCTCATCCACCCGGCGAGCCCCTCGTCCTGGGAAGCTCTGCCCGGCCGCCCCGGGGCAGCGCGCCGCAGCAGCTCCAGCAAAGGGGCAGGCAGGGGACGTGGCGGGTGTCAGGGCGCTCTCCCTGACTTTGGACGCTGTCCCTACCCCGCCGCCCCTCGTGGCCGGCAGCTGCTCTGCGTCGCGATCCGAAGGCAGCGGCTGGAGAGGACAGGCGTTCCCCCCATGTTCCCAGCGATCCTGCGGACTCCCCGCCTGGAGGGGCCTGCTCGGCAGCGTCGCAGAATGCACAGTATCGGGTAGATGCGCAGCCCTGTCCCTCCGCACACCTTGGACATCTCCAGGAAAGAAAACGTCCTGTAAAGGCAGGGGGGGGGGGGGGGGAGTTGCGATCACAGGGGGGGGGGGGGAGCCAGTGCCAGCTGCCCCCAAGTGCAGTTTGGGGGCTGCTGGCCTTGGAGGTCGCCTGGGAGCAGGTTGGCAAGTCTGGCAAAGATTTTTGCTGCTCTTGCCAAGGGACTCCATAGCCCATTCCCTGAACCCATGGCATTTGCCTGAGCTTGGGCAACATGTTCAGCAACCCCTGCAATTTCTCAAGGCAGCTCGATGTCCACAAAGAAGCCACTCTAGAAAAACTGGCCCACGTTGGCACGACATAGCAGTCCGCCGGGGCTAGCAACCAGCCAGGGCGACTTGCGTTCCGTGACCCCAGACAGGCTCCTGTTTTGCATGTGGCCAATTCCAGAGGCTGGGGACCCTCCGGAGCGGTTCTGAGGGGGGTGCAAAAGGTGCAAGAGGAGAAGGAAGGAGCAAGTCCACTGCATTAGCAGACTTCTGCTAGAAAGGGGCTGGATTCAGTCCAAAGAATTATGGTTGCAAAAGAGGAAAAGGGGCACAGGCACGCCACGTGTTCCTTACAAAAGATGCTTCACTCTCACTTCACGTGGGACGCTAGTTCTCCTTTCCCGAGAGCTGGTGAGCCCTCGTCGGGAGTCCCGTGTCCAGCCGTGGGCCCCAGAATTTAAGAGGCTGGTGACCTGGCAAAGGTTCAGGGGAGAGCAACAACTTGGGAGCCAGGGTGGCGTAGTGGTGAAGAGCACGGGACTGGGACTCAGGCGATCCGGGTTCGAGTCTCCGCTCAGCCATGGAGCCAACTGGGTGACTTTGGGCCAGTCACAGACTCTCAGCCCAGCCTACCTCACAGGGTTGCTGTTGTGGGGATAAGATGGAGGAGGAGAATGATGTAAGCTGCCTTGAGCCCTTTGTAGGAAAAAGGCAGGATATTAATCGAAAAATAGATAGATAAAAAATAAATAAACAAAAACGGGCAGGGGAATGAAAAGGAAGGCATGTGAGGAGAGGCCGGAAGAGTTGGGCATTTTCAGTCATAGGAAGACTCTTGAGCTGCTGAAGAGGCTGTCATGCAGACGGGTGAGGGCCAGAGTGAGGGGGCTCAAGTTCCAGGAAGCCAAATCTGAGTTGGACATCAGGAAGAACTTCCTGATTGTTAGGCCAATACAGCAATGCCCCCCCCCCCACTGGAGGCGTTCAAGATGCACTGAACAGGAGGTTGGACCTGATGGTCTTACTAGCCCCTTTCAACTCGACCGCTATGTGCTTTACGAGGAGGGGGAGGACCTAATGAAAGGGAAATTCCAAATCATCTGGCTGGGGCAAAGTTCAGGTATAGAGAGGAGGCTGCAGAAAGGGCACTGATGGGCACCTGACCCGATGAGACACTCCTGCAGGAGAGCCATGGACTGAGCGGACTCATCAGCAGGCCGGTGTGTCTCCACCAAACCACGGCGGTCGCCCATGATCTCTGGAGAACGGAACGGAGCGTTCTGCTGCACGATGCAGACCTCGGCTGGGCTGCTGCTTTCCGGACTGCATGTGCTCCTTCGCAATTCCTGTCTGTGTTTGCTCTGCTGTGGCTGAACCGTGAAGGTGACAGTGGCACAGACAGTGAATGCATCCTTCATCCAAGAAGGGCTGTGCTTCAGCATCGGCAGCAAAGGGAACCCGGAGGTGAAGGGCGGGAAAGTCGATCCATATGGGCCCAGCAGGCAGCACAGGGCTCTCACGCATGGCCCCTTCCTCATCCCTCAAGTAGGCCTTGCAGGGAAAAGCTGTCCCCCCATAGGCCCGGATCCAGCCAGAGCAAGGTCTCCTCAAAGAAGGGGGGCATCTTAGAAGCAGCCCCTCCGTCCTGCTGCTGCGTCCCACAGGCTCCTGTTGCCCTTCCCCTGCAACGAGAAAGGGGTGAGCGTAAACCACGCATGGCGATCAGTGGCTGCAGCAGGGGAGGGCTTTCTAGGCAGGAGCTCGAGGCCCCCTGCAGGAAGTTCTCCTGGGGCGGATGACGGGTGGAGGGGCCGCCACGTGCCCACCAGTCGCCCGGCCTTTTGAGGAACGAGCTGGGGCAAAGCTTGACACTGCCCTGAGCACCTCCTGAGGGATCACGGACTGGGCTGGATGCAGCCAGCAGGCAAGTCCTGGGGAAGGGCCCCCAGGCGGTCCCTGGCCGGGGCAAGCCCAGGCCCCTGCGCATCTCCCCAGCGGTAAGGACCTCTGCGGAGGCCCTGCTCTGGACTCCTTGCCACGGGCACCCTGGGGTGTCTGCGGCACGTCTCCTCCTCATGAGGCTAGGCTGCCTCCTCCCGCCAGTGGGAAGACCCTCGGTCTGAAAGCCAAAGCTGACGGGACACCCCTCGCAACGCCTCGGCTTGGGCAGGGCGTGGGGTGGGGGAGCAGAGGCCCTTTGCGTCTCCGCCTCTGCGGCCCGAGCTCAGGACAGGCTCGCGGGAGGACCGGAGCGGCAAGTCCCCGCGGACCGCCCGAGCAGCGCCTCTGGCTCCAGCAGGGCGAAGCAGAGGCAGCTGCAGGAGAGACGCGGCCGAGGGCAGGAGAGGCTGCGGGGGCCCTCCAGGCACGCGGCGCGTCCGCCCCCGGGGGGCCGCCGTTCGTGGACGGCGTCCAGCAGTCTGGAGACGCCCTGCACCGTCCACGCGCTTCCGCGCCCTCCGTCCCTCTGCCCCGGCTGGGGAGAGCCATGCAGGCCGACCGGAGGCGAGGGCCAGCCGCGCGAGGGGCAGGGGCCCTCCCGGAGGAGCAGGCGCAGCAGTCCTCCGCGCCCAGACGCGAGCCAGCCGGGACGCGGCCGGGGCGGGCGGCCGAGGGCGCGCATCCCGCTGCCGGGCTCGGAGCGCGGCCGCCCCCCTTCTCCCATTGGCGGCCCCGCGGCGGCAGGGCAGGGCAGGGCAGGGCAGGGCAGCCCCTCCCCGCCCGCACTTTTATAACTCCCGAGCGGCGCGCCCGGCCGCTCCAGCTGCGCCCCCCGGGCACGCACTCGCTCGCGCCCGCTGCCCCGGCGCGCCGCCCGGGCGCCGCCGCCCGCCATGGAGCTGGGCTGGGCGTGCAGCTCGCTGGTGTGGGCGCTGCTGCTGGGCAGCCTGGCGCTGCGGCTGGCGCGCTCCGAGCTGCTGCTCACGCGCGGGCTGCTGCTGCGCGGGGCGCTGGCGCTGCTGCTGCCGCCCGGGCTGGGCTGCGCCCTCCTGCCGCCGCCTCTGCTGGCCGCGCTCGCGGGCCTGGCCTGCTGGCTCGCCCTGGCCGGAGCCATGCGCTCCAGGAGGATCCCCGTCCGGGAGAGAGCCGTGCTTATCACAGGTGAGTCCCGCCCCGGCCGGGCGTGGCGTGCCCTGCCCAGGCCACTGGGTGCTGAGCCCCTGGACGGCTTGCCCGGCACAGGCCTGCTGCTGGCCCACCCTGTGCCGGGCGGCCGGTCCTGGGCAGAGCCTTGGACCCGGGCCCACAGGGAAGCGCCTCCTTCATCCCCAGGCAGGAGGTACCCGGCTCTGCACCCGAGCCGCAGAGCCCTCTGCCTGCCGGGCCGGGCACGTGTCGGCCAGTGGGGTGCTGAGCCCAGCCTCTGCGGCCCTTCCCCGGGGCCTGTGGGCCAGAGGGGGTCCAGTGGCCAGCTGCAGCCACAGCACCTTCCCATGAAGCCCGTAGGATCCTGCCAAATTTCTACCATGCATTTACAGGAAATGTGGAGCTGCTCACCTGTTGCTTGAGAGCATGCCGTGCCCTCCGCATGATGGGGACCCGTGGCCGGAGGAGGACAGGGTGCATCTGTGCCAGCCGGCCATTGGCTTGGCCTCTGGAGCAAGTGGAAAGGCTCCCCTCCCCTCCGGGGTCACCTGCCACTGCTCTGGCAGGTCCAGAAGGGCTGTTGCTCCAAATGGCACCCGTTGCAGGGTGGGCAAGGGCGACACTGCCTGTGCTGAAGAAACCTCGGTGGCAGCAGTGCTGCGCCACGCCATGCATCCCACCAGCCCCAGCCACGGCCTGTAAGTTTGAGGGAGGCACCGAGGACAAAGCCCGGCTTGTGCCATTGTCCCCAGTCTGCCTCTGACCAGGAGGAGGCAGCTGCCCCCCACCCCCGGGGGCTTGCTGCCCCAGGAAATTCTTTTGAAGGGTGGACTGAAAAGCCGGAATACAGAAACCACTGAAGTTCTGCAGAATCCGCTCAGAAAGCTTTCCAAGTAAAGCTGCCCAGCACGGGGGCTTTGCCTCATGAGCCAGGAGGTTGTGGGGACGATGGTGCACCACAAGAGCTGACCTTGAGGTGGGGTGGGGAGGAGCTGGCTGTGGGCAATGCCTGTAGGGGGGGAGGGGCAGCAGGTGCCAGGGGGCCACTGGAGAAGTGGGGAGGCTGCAAAGCGGCAACTCCCGGGGCCGGGAACTGGCTTGGCCGCTGCAGGGGGCACTCACTGGCATGGGGGTGCAGACGGATGGGGGAGAAGCAGGGCAGAAAGGGGCACCAACCAAGGCTGATATGCCATGACACACGTTTCAGTGAAAATCTTCACACTCCCTGGAAATCTTCACCTCTACTCCTTAGAACCCAAATCTGAGAATGTCTCCTGGCACCCACTGGCCAAGTGATGGATGGGGCTGTTTGTCTTCGGCAGACGTACACAGCCAAGCCGTGCAAAGCTGGACTGCGTTGTCTTGGTAGCTCGAGCACCACACAGTCTCCAAGACTGGGCACAGGGTGCCCCCTGTGCATGCCCGCTCTTGGGGTCTGGGAGGCCTTTCTGGCAGCCACACATGGGCACGCAGAGCTGGGCTGGGCTGGGCTGGGCTGAGCTGAGCTGGCAGAACCCTTGTTTTGGCCTGGCTGACTCGTCTCCCTGCACTCTTGGGGCCTGTGAGGAAGCAAAGTGGGCAGCCCCAGTGCCAAAGGGGGCGTCAGGCAGTGCCCCTCCCTCACTGCGCAGCCTTCCTGCCCAGGGCTGGGGGTGCCTCCTGCTAGCTGATCCTGATGGAAAAGCAGGGAACGGTGCCCGGAGGGGGAACGCTGCCTGCGGAACAAAGGGGCCCACAGAAGGGCCGGTACCTCTCGCAGGAAGGATCCTGATGGCTGATGGGGGTGCGATAAAAAGCACATGGACATATGGATGTGGCCACCCACTCAGTTCTCCACAGAAGACCCCGAGCTAAGCAGGCCCTAGTGGAATCCTGCCGTGGCCGCTGTGGCCAAGGCATGACCTTTGTGGCCCATGAGATCTGCTCCCCAGGAACGGCGGCAGCATGTTGTGCGGCATGGGGACCCGGAGGGGCTCCTGGCACTGCCGACCGGGAGACCTCGCACCTTTCCTGCAGCAGATACCCAGTGCACGAAATGCACGGGCAGGTGTGTAGGGAAAGCACCCCAGGGATTCTGTGCGTGAGCAGGGAAAGGCGCACTGCAGGACTGAGAGGGCAGGTGTGACTCTCGGTGCCTCCAGACGGGTGTGGAGCCATGTTTGGGAGACCTTCTGGCAGCCTTTCATTCTTTGCTGATTTTCTGCCTTGAGGGAAAAGATGGAAGCAGCTGTGAAGTGCAAGAGGGCCATGAACAGTAGAGGATGAGGAACTTCCTTGAGTGAGGCAGGGAAAGAGGCTGTCAGAGTCTCACCCAGAAGGCTCCAGAATGCCTGCAGCAGGTTGTGACACCTCCAGGGAGCTGTGAGGCACCCTCAAAACTAGGGAGGGGGAGGTGTGGAGAAGGGAATTCCAGGTGGGGAGTTTTGAATGTGGCAGCCGCGTCTTTTGCAGTGGCTGAGACAGCAACCGTCTTGGCCTCCGGGGAACCAGGCAGGGGGTCCACAGCCACAGTGGGAGTGGGAGCCTCCTGGGTGGGAGGGTTTCGGGGCACCCTTATCACACTGGGGACGATGGGTGTGGGGAGAAACACAGACACTGGCCAGATTGGCTTTACGGCATGAACATTTAGACAGGAGCTAGCAATTGCCTTTCAAGATCAAATGCTACCCAGCAGACTGCACCCCCAGCTATTCCCCATGTGCATTTTGTGGGTGGGGTCACTGACCCCTGGCGTCACCCCTGTGATTTGGACTGGAGTGATTTTTTCCTGGAAGGGTTCATGGGCTTTGCTCTAACGGAAGGTGCTGGCCCCCTACTTGAAGGGCCAAGCTCTACTCAAGCGTCTTTCCTTGGAGTGGCAGGGGGTGGGGTGGGGGGCTTGCTCAGCCTTTGGGTTCATCTAGTCACAGTTTGGGGCTGGGGGGGCATTTCCCTCAGGTCAGACCTGGCTGTGAGGTCCAGGAGACTTTGGCTTCCCACAAGGCGGACTGTTTACATGAGCTGCACTCTTCCTGCTCCCTGCTTTACTGAGCTCCTCAGTTTTGCAGGACGAACTGTAAAGGCAGAGTTCTAAATGGGAACATCAGAATACGGGCCCTGGCCTTCTATTCAGCCTGAGACAAACAGCACAGGCAGATCTTCCCAGGACATGTGAAGACGTATTCAGGGCTGCCTTTCCTTGCTGTGGCCAAAGAGCCGTTTGAAAACTCTGGTTGCTGGCCGGATACAGTCTTTTGCTGCTCCAGGCTTCCAACAAGTGTTGTGCTATTGTCGAATAATAGCAGTTGTTGTGGTTTTGAGCTGCATATCTTGACCTTGGTGGGAATTACTTTGTGGGGTTCTGCCCTAAGGGAGCAGACATGTCATAAGCACATGCGTTCCTCGGAGGAGCCTCCCAGAGGTCCCTGGCAGAGGCAGCTTTGCCAAGCAGGACAGGCCAACTGCGGTGAGGGAGCCCTGAGGTGGAAGTGGGGTGGCCCCTCTGTGGAAAGGACGACTTAGAGAGCTGCCAACCTGCCTGCACACTCCTGCGTGAAACTGGCTTTCCATCTGCTTGAGGACGCGGAGGCTTCCCAGGACGTGTGGCAAATCAGGACTGGATCACTTTTGGAGGTTTTGCTCAGGTGACTCAGCTGATGGCAGGATGCATTCCGGAGACCTGCTGCGGATGCAATGAAAAATCACAGGCAAAGCCCGGAGTCAGTCGGAGGGGGAGCCCTCCACCTGCTCCCCTGCCCTGACCGCTTCCGCGGACACCGCAGCCGGCGTGTGTGTGTGGGGGGGGTCCCTGGCCAGTGCCTGCCCTGAGTGAGGCACTTGCTAGCCGTGGGGCAGAGTCGAGCATCCCCCAGCTGAGGCTCTGAGGACACACCGGCGAGGCAGGCTTGCGGTGGGGAGGTCCCCCTCCCCACGCGGGGATGGCTGGGTGGAGCTGGCCCTGGGCTCCCCGACGAGCCTCCCATGACGGCCCCGCTCTCCAAGGGCCCCATTCCCCTTCGCCACACAAAGGGATACGCAGGGCTGGACAGGAGCTCTTCCCCAGGCGCCTTTCTCCTCTCCTCTCCTCTCCTCTCCTCTCCTCTCCTCTCCGCTGCAGCCCTGCAGCCTCGGCACCATCTTGTTTGTGAATTTCCAACATTTGACAGCACCCATGGAATCAATTACAGCCCGAGAGAGTGATCTGGGGCAGGAAACCGGGGCAGGCCGGCGTAGCCCTTCCTCCGGTCCTCGGACGCCTGGCTCCCCGCCAGACTGACACAGGAGAGGCAAGTGGTGGGCAGGCTCCAACTCATGCAGGTGGCCGTTTTCCCATGTGCTAGCAAGACGCACATTCTCCAGCCTAGCTCACCACTCCTCTGTGCCAGAATGGCTTCCAGGCTGCAGAACCCATCTTTTAACATTTTCCCCACCTTCTGCCCCAGATCCTGTGCCTGTCCCCTCCTCGGCTTGTATCCTGCTGCCACCTCAGAATGATTTTGTGGGATTTGTGGGCAGGGCAAGGCAAACAGGAGCAAGCCCGAGAAGCAGCCTCCGGCCTCCCATCTTCCCTCTTGCCCCACACCCCCAGTCCCAGGTCATTGTGCATTTACAGAGCTCCACAGCTGTGATCTCCCACACAACGACTTTCTGAAATCCCCTTGTTGCGCACCATCAGGGATGCGCGTGCAGACAGTGGACTCAGGAAAAAGGGGTGGGGTGAGAAGCGGAAAGGAGGGCTTGGCCCTGCCCCCTGCAGTTGGGGCTGCAGGAGTCCAGCCATGGGTCCACTGGGCCGGAGTTGCCATGCAGGGCCCCCCCTCTGTGCCACGGCCCTCCTCGATTTGCACTGCTGTTTCTGAGGTATGTTTGCCCATAGGGCACAGCACACGACCTCGGGAGTGCCTGCTCCCCCCACATCTCTCCCCGTGCTGCCTCCAGCCGGACACCCTGTCACCATTACCATGTTTGGACAAGGGCAGCGGCACAGGGGTGCATAGGTGCAAAAGGCTCTGCTGATCATGAATCCAACCACAAAG